TCCTCTATGTTGAAATGTTTTGCTGGAAATTTGTTGTGGATGAATCATTGGGTTATTTTATATCATTTACAGGAAAATGTAGAGAGACTTTCAAAACCGTAGCAAAAGAAACTCTGATAATGAACATCTAAATTACTTCTCTTTTATGTCTAATAAGACTTCAGTTTTGTGCTGAAATCGCACCGTTGGGGCACATGAGGAACCTTCTAAAGCTTAAAATAGGATGTGCAAATATCATTTTGATGACCTCCAAAACACTTCCTGACCATAGGCATAATTGCAGTGGTCATAAGATGAAAACCAAATGACTTGGCATGCGCATTAAACTCATAAAAAGAGATTTGATTGTTGAATGCTTGAACGTATACTCTTTTTACATTTCCTTCCTAATAAAAACATGGTCATAATTGGAGCCCATGCATGATGTGCGTCTCAGGTGGCGGCTGGACTGTGATCCAGCGTAGGCAAGATGGCTCTGTGAACTTTGACCGCAGCTGGAAGGAGTATAAAGAAGGATTTGGAGACCTGCACACCGAATACTGGCTGGGAAATGAACACATCCATGACCTGAGCAGTCAGGGAGACTATATGCTCCGAATCGACCTGGAGGACTGGAGCGGGAAACACAAACACGCTGTTTATCAGAGCTTCAGGTGAGGAACATCCATCACTAACTGACTGGAAGGACTTCAAACGGACGCACAATGTTTAATAGTGATTAAACAGCTGGCTTTGTAATTGAAAACACTTTAAACACTTGATGAACACTCCAAACACTTGATGTGTGTTTGCAGTGTGGAGGACGAGAGCACTCAGTACCGTCTGCGTGTGTCGGGCTTCAGCGGGACTGTGGAGGACTCCTTCAGCTGGTACCATGACAAGCAGAGCTTCAGCACACCCGACACGGGCAACATCTGTGCCGAGATCTCCCACGCTGGCTGGTGGTACAACCAGTGTTTCTACGCAAACCTCAATGGCATCTACTACAAGGTATGATGTGGCCTGTTGGTTATAGACACAAATGTTGCAGGTTTAAGGCCCAGAAGTGAGTGAATCGTGAGCTGTTACTGTTGTCTTTGAGTTAGCCACTGAACCCCTGGTTTGCCTATGTAATAAAAAAAATGAAATAGATTAAAAAAAATGCTGCTAAATGAAGAATAATTTAATAATATTATATAACATAATAATAATTTCATATATAAATAATATATATATATTACATTTAAAAATATAAATACAATTTCATAAATTGTAATTTTACCTGCAAGTGTGTAATATTTTAGCATGTTCGTAAAAAGTTGTTGTTTTTTTTAATGTAGTTACATTTACGTTTTTGGCAGTGTTATTTTAGTATCACTGATATACTATTATAGTTTTATTAATATTTTGAATTAGACTTATTTTTTATATTTTCTGTTTTCATTTTCATTTTAGTTAGTTTTTGTAATTTTGTTGTGTTTTTCACTTTTTTAAATATGCCTATATATAGTTTTTGTTCGTTTTTTTATTTATTTATTGGTTTAGTTGTTTTAGTACTTCATTAAACTAAACAAAAATGAGGAATATTGGCTCGACAACTAGACTATAATAAAATCAATTAAATTAAATTAAATTAATTTAATTATTTCAGTTAACATTTATTTTAGGTACTAATTTTTTTATGGGTTTAGGTTATTGGAAATGTATTCTTGTTGTTTTTGTGTTTTGAAAACCTCAGTGTTTACTACTTTATGTTAAAGTTACTCTTTAAATTAATTTTTCAAAGTTCAAAGGGTCAAGTGACCTGAACATCAAAACATGCTGTTATGAAGGTCTACAAAAGTCCTCTCTGTAATATAATTTCATGTATATGAATTTTTTGCTACTTGAACAACAAGATTTTTGCAAGCTGGTTATATCACATTGACATTTTTATGTAACTAGACAAATAATACAATTATGGCATATGACAAATATTTTGTCATTCAAGTTCAGGACTGTTACATCAGCTACACATTTTAACTACACAAAACGTTATTTTAGTATCACTGATATACTATTATAGTTTTATTAATATTTTGAATTAGACTTATTTTTTATATTTTCTGTTTTCATTTTCATTTTAGTTAGTTTTTGTAATTTTGTTGTGTTTTTCACTTTTTTAAATATGCCTATATATAGTTTTTGTTCGTTTTTTTATTTATTTATTGGTTTAGTTGTTTTAGTACTTCATTAAACTAAACAAAAATGAGGAATATTGGCTCGACAACTAGACTATAATAAAATCAATTAAATTAAATTAAATTAATTTAATTATTTCAGTTAACATTTATTTTAGGTACTAATTTTTTTATGGGGTTAGAGGTTATTGGAAATGTATTCTTGTTGTTTTTGTGTTTTGAAAACCTCAGTTTTTACTACTTTTTAAAACACTTTATGTTAAAGTTACTCTTTAAATTAATTTTTCAAAGTTCAAAGGGTCAAGTGACCTGAACATCAAAACATGCTGTTATGAAGGTCTACAGAAGTCCTCTCTGTAATATAATTTCATGTATATGAATTTTTTGCTACTTGAACAACAAGATTTTTGCAAGCTGGTTATATTACATTGACATTTTTATGTAACTAGACAAATAATACAATTATGGCATATGACAAATATTTTGTCATTCAAGTTCAGGACTGTTACATCAGCTACACATTTTAACCACACAAAATTATTTTTAATTTAGAAAAACATACTGATGATAAAAGGTGTGTTCAAGTCTTTCTCTTTATGAATAAATGCAGACTTAAAAAGTGCAAATCAGAAGCTAAAGGATCTCTGATGATGTCTAAGTGATGTTCTGTGATCCTGTTGGACAGGGCGGCCGCTACTCGCTGAAGGGGAAGAACCCTCTTGGTCCAGACGGTATCGTGTGGTACACCTGGAAAGATTCAGATTACTACTCTCTGAGGAAGGTCAGCATGATGATCCGACCCAGAACCTTCCAACAGCATCTGTCACCCTGAATCTGAACCTGTCACCGATGAGCTTGGGCCCGTACGTCAACCAGCCAATCACAGTTCTCATAGCCACAGCGACACAGGACGGCTGTATTCTTCCATGGTGAAACAGAGGAAAGTCTGTGTATGGACTGAATGTTTTCAAAGAGGCTGTGAAACCATTTTTTAGGTTTATACCAAAGACTAGAGAAGGACTGCTGCTGAGATCCTTGAAAGTCAGTGTTTGCCATTCAGTGAGTCTAAAGTGTGTTACATGCCTATATTTTCTATACCCATGGTTTTAAGAATTTAATATTTTGTTGACATTTTATAAATGTGTATTAAAAGTAGATTTACTTTCTGTAGCATACAATGGGACCAAAGATGATTGATTTAATTTATTTTCTCCAAAGCCATAAATAGCAACAAATATCCCACAGCACTTTCTTAAACATCTGTTTGCCACTATTTCCTGATCAATAGAATGATTACATGATTAATGATATATTATTGTATTTAATCAAATATACAGTAACATTCAAAATTTGGGGTTGGTAAGATATTTTACTGTTTTTGAAAGAAGACTCTTATGCTCACTAAGGCAGCATTTGTTTGATCAAAATACTGTAAAAACTGAAATATTATTACAATTTATAATAAGCCGTTTTCTCTTTTAATTAATTTTAAAATGTAATTCATTCCTGTGACGCAAAGCTGAATTTTCAGCACTTTTACTCTAGTCTTCAGTCACATGATCCTTCAGAAATTATTATTATATGCAGATTTGATGCTCAAGAACCATTTCTTGTTATTATCAATGTTATTGTGGTGCTTAATATTTTTGTATAAACAATTGTTTTTTTCAGGATTCTTTTAAATGGGGGGGG